ATTTATATAAAGAAACAATTGGTTTTATTGGCTTTTCATTGGGCAATACCATAATGTTTCAGTTGCTGGCATCACAACCACATTATTCACAAATTATAAAACCATTCATATCTTTAGCCAGTTTTGTATATTTAGGAAATATAAGGTCTCCCCTTCTAAGACTGTCCGATGTGTTTGAACCTATTTTTAGGTAAAAAATTAATATAAATTTTAAACAATTTTCACTAAAAAATTATTATTTTTATCAGCTTTCTACCAAAAAGGTCGGGAGGTTTTGGAAAATTTCAACCATTGATTGGCAGATATATCTGTGGGAATTCAGTATTAAAGAGTATCTGTGCCCTCATATATTTTCTGATCGGAGGATTTGATCTAGCAAATCTCAATATAGTAAATATTGTATAAATTTCTAAAACAAACAATTAATTGATAAGAATGTAGGCTTTTCTCCCAAGACTTTGGGCTCACTTTCCAGACAGTGCCTCATCCTTGGTAATCGCACACATAGGACAACGTATTCATTACAATACATTTAATTATTATAATTATGGATTTAATAAGAACTTTGAAATTTATGGCCAGAAAGAACCCCCGAGTTATAATCTTTCAAACATTAACTCTANAAGAACCCCCGAGTTATAATCTTTCAAACATTAACTCTAATTATATTGTCTTAATGTCTGGTTTGAATGACTTTCTGTCGGACTCAACAGATGATGATATGCTTAGAAGTCAATTAAGAGGTAATACGAGCAATATTTAAATATCTAATAATTTTAAAAGATCTAACATTATTTGTATAGTGGATCTCTACGCGGATTATGTAATTCCATACAAGGATTGGACACATGGAGATTTTCTGTATGGCAATAGTGTTGGTCATTACGTGAACGCACCTATTCTTAGAATTTTACAATCTTTAAATTTATTTTCTTTAAACTAATTTAATTTGTTCATCATACCATAGTAAATTCAATTTTAAAAATGATAGCTAAGTTAATTAATGGATAATTTAAATAAAAATAAATCAATTTTAAAAATAATAAAATTTATCTAATTTTAATCGATATAATGTGATTAAACTTTTAGAATAATTAAAAAACTAAAAATTTATATTAACACATAAGGGTAAATAAAAATAGATTGGATTCATTATTGAAAATTATATTTATTATTGGATATATTTATTCGTTAATATAAAACTAGTAACTCAATAAGAAAATGAAACCATTTTTTGCAAATATCTATTTTATAATGATTTCAAGTTTAATCGTAAATTGTTTTGAATATTTTAGTTCGGATCCAGATATTGACAGGAATTCGGTATAAAATATTTATAAAAGATATGTAATTATAAATTATTAAATGACTTAAAAATCTGATTGAAGAGTGAACTCATCGAATCCCGAGGTTTTCTATCTGAAAGTTATGACATCATAACAGAAGATGGATATATTATTACAATATTTCGACTCATAAATCCATTTGTGAACAGATCTGCAAAACATTACCCCATTTATATCCAGCACGGATTTTTTCAAAACTCTGATAACTGGCTATTGAATAGTATCGGTGCCATCGATGGCAACGGGGTCTACAGTGAAGACAATTCTATAGTAAATAACTGTTTTAGTTCTCATTCAGTGGCCAATACATTGCCGTTTGTATTGTCTTCGTGTGGTTATGACGTCTGGTTGGGAAATATCAGAGGAAACAGGTATTCGTCTCATATTTCTTTGGATCCAAATAATGGTAAATTAAATATATTTTTATAGATTGTACGTTTTCTAATCAATTAAATATTACAAACTCTAATTATATAGATGCAAAATTTTGGACTTTTTCAATGGATGAGTTCACAAGATATGATATCATTTCAGCTATTGATCATGTCCTAAGAGTAACAAATAGTGGTATTAAGTTGTTTATATACTAGTATATACTAGTATACAGTATACTATATACTATACAGTATAGTATATAGTATATACTAGAATACAAGAATTTTTACAAAAGTAGTCTAAATTTTTATTATTTTAGAGACCATTGGTTATATTGGATACTCGTTGGGGACAACAATTATGTTTCAATTGTTATCAACAAAACCAAATTATTCAAACATAATTAAACCTTTTATAGCTCTAGGTCCATTTGTATACATCGGACATATTATATCTCCACTTTTAAGAATTCCAATATCTATCGAAC